GAAGACAAAAGAAATATTTACTTGTTGTAACTATATTCAAAGGAAATTGCAGTAAAATACAGCACATGTTGTGTCTTTTATTAAAAATATAATGTTCATGTAATCTGAGCTTCAGTGACCACTTCGCGGCAATGTAGCAGATATGCTACAAATGCCTTTATGAAATTATTCAATACATACAAACGAATTTATACAAACACACAAATACGATATGAAATGACTGCCTTATGTCAAATTATAATATACTAAAACTTATACCCTAGAGCACTTTACAAAGATAGAACATTGTCACGAACTTAGAGCTTTAAAACTTACCGAAATCACTGTGATTTGGACATCATTTTCTCGGTCTAAAAGCCACTTTGGTAAAAATTTTCGCCATTACAACAATGTCAACAACGTGGGCTGTATTGCATTGTGGGTAAAAGAAGAAACTAAACCCAGACTGCGAAAAATTCGCGCACTTTTCTATTTGTAGCAGATCTGCTACACTGCCGCTTAAAGGGTTTTAAATAATGTCTTTACGAGTTTGATATTTACTTGCTGATAATTATACATATAGAATTGTCTTAGTGTTATTGTAGTTTGCTTTGTTAATAAGTGTTTATGTTAATAAGTTAATTAAAATTAAACTTATCGCACGATATTATCAAATACCTAGACGAAAATCACATCATGATCTTTTAAGTATCGCCCAACTCTAGTTCGTGACTTCGTGTTGTTTGTATCTGTTGAGTTCGTGTTAACCGACCTGGGGACGCGTATTTAAACAAGCGTTTCGTGTGTTGAATATCTCATTTCATTTTCATCGGATGTGACGCACACTGAAAGTGGTGAAAATGATTGTCACCGGTGAGCCTGGAGGTTTATGAAACGAAAATTGCCTCCCCTTCGGCTCGACTAAGGGGGCCTCGACTATATGAGCCCTGCTCTGCCGGGCTGGCTCGGCTAACCGGGCTGGTTTTCAAGTGCCGAGATCCCGCCTCACATATTGTTTGTATTAATTTAGGATTGGGTTCATATGAGAAGCGGGCCAGCCCGGTTTGCCGGGATCTCACTCGAGCGAGGCGAGATCCCGGCTTGCCGGGCTCATATGAATGCACAACCGGGCTAGCCCGGCAAGCCGGGCTGGAAATTTGCGTGCTTTATTTCACTGATAAACAGACTAAAATGTCCAAAACTATAGGAATTTATCGAAATTAAACCTCCTGAAGCTGTTGCCGTCGACAAAAATAAAATTTTGCCAAATAAACACGAATTTTATTTTCCCGCTAAAATATCGCGGGAAATCGTTACTATGAATAGATATGATTGCCGGGCTAGCCCCCCTCATGTGAAAGCAAAGCGGGCCAGCTCGGCAAAGCGGGCCAGCTCGGCAAAGCGGGCCAGCTCGGTTAACCGGGCTCATATGAACAGGCCCTAATAACAGTTACCAGTTATCTCGTTTAATGTTTAGTCAGTTTCGCTTGGGCAGACAACATTAACCTCGGTCCAATAATTGTTTACTAATATTGTTAGTTATATCATTCATTCTCATCGTGTAATAATTCCAGTTGACCAAGTCAATTTTATAATCCAGTCTATATTTGGTCACCCATTTTGGGCTAGTGCTGTCACCATATCATATGAGATTATAGAGCCAATAAAATGCATTAGATTATAGATCACCGGAATAAAAACAAGAAAAAACAACATGAACGGCATTTTTATGAATTTTAAAACAAGCTTTTTGATATTTTATGTGGTTCGAGTACTAATGAGATTTCCAATATTGACCTCGGTCTGAATATATTTGCTGCCGAAGGCAGCACCCTATTCTTGACAAGCGGTTGACACGCGGTGGTTTCTCCAGAGTCCACTCGACCCAGTCTTTCGCGCGATCTATGTATTGTCGAGATCTCGATTTGTGTCTGTCTGTCTGTAAAGATGATTTCCGGGAGGAATAATTAAGCTTCAGGAAGTTTTTTTAAACGAGGGGGGCGGTCAAACTTATTTTGTATTGTGCAAGCAGTTTTAAACTTTAAATTTTAATACGAGACCATAGGAGTTTATATGTTGGATTGCAAACGAATATCAAAGAATAAATCAGGTAAGAATGGCTTTATTTCTTTCTGGTGATATACATGAAAGCATTTAATATATTTAGATCTGCTGTTTAGCATTGGATACAGAGGTATTGAAACATATGATTTCATGATGTCAATAATGTCTTATTTTATATACAAGGAGTGAAAATGCACTTTGAGTTTAAGTTAATTGTTTGTGTGGCGATGTGCCAAGGCGATGAGTTTATAGTGTTCATTTTAGATGTGTATAGCAATGGTGCATTCAGCACGTTTTAAAAACAAACGCGGACTGTTATAACCTTGTGCACGTAATCAGGCTTTATATAATTATTGAATAAGATTCCTATAGCAACCCAGTGTGGGGATTGTTGTCTGTATATATTAACTTACCAGGCTACCAGCAGTTACATGCAAATAGCATGTCAACCGACTTTTGTACAAAGCCGGGTATCGTGCATGCCTGATGGCCTGTTTATATCTCTGAGACATGTCCATTGTTAAAGATGCATTACAGTCCGTATGTAAACAAAGGCTTTGTTTACATTTCGGTATCCAAAATATAGAATTTTATTCGAGAACTATTTATTTTTCATGATTCTAGAGTATAATAAATTATCAAGACACAACAATCAAGCTTTGCAAGAACATACAACGAAATAAAACCTAAATAAACTGTTTGTATAAAAAAGAGGGCTCCTTTGTGCACATGCTCAGATCGGACTGTACAGCATCTTTAACATAATATGAAATAATCCTACCGACCTATAGTACTCATACATTCACCTGGCTGTGTCATGCAATACATTTGAGGGTATGCTATTTATTCTTGGGTTTCACTAAGGGGCCATTCACAAAGGATGTCCGGCCAAATGATGGATTTTCAGACCCCCCCTCCCCCCCTTGTCCGGCATTGTCCGAATTAGTGACCCCCCTCCCCCCGGACATCCACCATGCCTCGCAAAAACTCACACAACCTTGTATATGTCAAGAGTAAAAAACGTTTTTTACTTTTAGAACTTTTTTATAACTATAAATGTGAATACAAAAACATATAAATTACTAATTAAAACAAAATCTAGTGTTAACCGCAGAGTCAAAATGCCAATTTCACAATGAGAAGGACTGCTCAAAATAGAGGGAAAAAGAAATTTGTTTTTGAATTTTTTAAAATTTCGGACATCCGGATTGCTAAATCCCCCCCCTCCCCTCCTATGTCCGAGTTTGTCCTGATTTTCCAAACCCCCCTCCCCCCCTTGGCCCGGACATCCTTTGTGAATGGCCCCTAAGGCATTATGCAGACTGAATCTGACTGGGGGTCATTGGTCAACCTCAAATGTATTGATGCTTATGCTGTATTGGAGTGAGAAAATGATACGAAATTCCATGTATTGCCACCAAACACAAGGCTAATACATAAAACGAGCAATCGACTCACTCTGATAACTGACTGTTTTGTTTTTAAGTTGACCCCCTGTCACTTCTGTGACGTCATATGAAACCCAAGAATATTCTGCGATAATGCTCACAATTTCTTATTATATAGTTTTGCGGTTATGACTGAGTACAATCTCTGACTGAGTACAATGAATGGTGTCATCTGAAGCTGACATATTAATTAATAGATTTTGTCTCCCCATCAGATTGTTCGGTTGATTTGCAATAGGGGTAGCCTTGAAGATGCCAATGTAAATAATAATTGGGAAAAACAGACTTAGTATTTCTACAGTGTGTCTCAAAAAAAAGTGAACCCTTTCAAATTCAAATTAGCTATAACGTATTGTAGTAATTTGACAGCAGTCTAATTGCATTGAATTAATAGTTGGGTAAGAACACAAGGTATACTGTATTTCTTTTAAATTTTCTAATCTTTATTTCTTTGAGTTTTGTCCCATGAGTACAAGACCTTGTGTTCTTACCCAATCATTAATTCAAAGCAATTAGAGCTGTCAAATTTGAAAGGTTCACTTTTTTTGAGACACATTGTGTATATGATATTATACAGTATTCAGTGGCTAGCTAGCCATGGCAACTGGTATATTATAAACCTGCATATTTGGATAATGAAAATAATTACAAATTTGCATAGTTTATGACCTTTTGGTATGGCTAGCTTTGCCACAGACAGTATTGTATTATATATACAAAAACAAGAAATTATAAGCACTGAAGGTATTCATATAAAACTGCCCAATGCCAAGAAAGTAGAAATAGAATATTTAGCTGACCTTTGACTTTATGCAAGGTGTTTGATATTCAAGTTGCACTTTTCCTACCTCATGAACAGGTGTCTTAGGGGCTGTTTACTGTAAATATTGGAAGGCGGGGTGATTTTAATGTATTGAAATAAGTCAACAGAATTCAAATGTTGTAGTTCAAAAAGATTATTATTGCTCCTTGAACAACCTTTAGTTTACAGTTAACTATGTAGTTTTTTGTTGAATCGTGCACAGTAATTTATTTTACAAGTAATACGGCAAAGCAGGATCATATAAACTGACCCTTATTCAGCAAATTCTGCATGCTGCCTTTGATCCCTTGGGGGTGAGGCAGCACTTTCCTTGCGATAGTAACTTCTAGTCTTAATTTATATTGTTGTTTGATTATATCATTCATTCTTACCGGGTTATAGGTTTTCCAGTTTACCAAATCAATGGTGTAATCCAGTCTATATGTGGCCACCCATTTTGGGCTAGTACTGTCTCCATATGTTATGAGATCATAGAGCCGATATACTTTTCCTAAGTCCACTTGAAGATAATGTTTGTCATCTGAGACACGAACACACCAAGAACTACCGCTAGATATCCTTGCATCAGAAGCACTGTGACCTTCTGAAGAAGCAGAAGCACTAAACGAAGAATCAGGAAATCTCTGGTTATCTTCTAGCAGTGGTCTATACTCCGAAACACCACCTAAAACGAAAAATAAATATATAAAACTTAAATGAACTAAAAAACTAACAATATGAATATAAAATATAAATGTCTGTCAATCTAGACTAAGAAGAATGATTGATTCCATCAAAGTTGTTCGTAGAGTGGCTGTGTTTATCTCTCATCACATTCTATTTTCATTCTTCCCTTACCTATTCTCTTTCCATTTATTTCTTTATTATTTAATTTTTCACCTTTGCATCCTATTCGTCTCCTTTTTATCTACTTTTATCATACCATACTTACATTCTACATATGACAACCCAGAACAACTTTGGCTAGCTGAAGCAGTAACTGAACACTCGGATAAATATTTGTCGTGATAATTACAGTTTATACTTCCAAAAAATGTTCCATTTTTTATATCCGTAGGAGCGGACACATTACCAAGAGAGGAGTATGCACTGCGGTAGCCCAGGTGACGACAAATAATATTCTTGGCGCTGTTCTTTATACTTCCATAACAAACATTCTTGGTCCTGCCATTAGTAGTAATTTCTACAATACCTTTGTAAGGTAGTGGTGAGTATGACAGAAATACGTCATGGACTACAAATACACAAAAATAATAAGGTTATTGGTTATTTTGCTATGCGAAGCTTTCGTGAATTTCACTGATATGTGGGGAACATGCACACGACGGGCGAGTACTGTATTATTTCTGAATATTTATTGAAGTAGTAACATTTTTTGTGGAAAAATATTAACATTTACATGAGTAAAATATATCGAGATGGCAAAACAAGAACTGTAATGACCAATTATACGAGACATAATACGAACAATTTTTTAACAAGTTGAACAATTTTAAATATTCTAGAAATACCCTTTTCTTTAAGATACGTCGTTTGAAACTACGTATAGTTGCAACCATTAATGGAACTACATATATTTATGCCCAGACTTACTACAAGGTTCTTTGTGAGGTTTCACGGTATCAATACATTGATAAAGAAAGTAAAGATAGTTTGACAATCCCGGACATAGATCACCGGAAAACAAATTGTCATCCACAGTTATACTACACTCATGTAGACCATCACATCGTTTCTTAACCAGACATGTTACATCGACTCCACAACTATAATCATTACTTGAACCACATGTCTTTGTGGCAAGCAATCCACGGAAAGATGCAAACTTGACCACCATGTACTGATCTTTAGGACAGTTGGCATTCTTTACCATATCGCCATAACATGTCACTGAACCTTCAATAGAACAAGAGTTGTTTTTGTTTCAAAACTTTGCCAGGGCCAGGCTATTGTATTTTTGCCAAAACATATATATTTATCTCGTTAAGTACCGGTATAATGTGAACATGACATATTTGCCTCTGTCAACTAGGTCACGTTTTCACCTGACATTTGTTGTACGTCTGTGGGTGTGTGTAGGGAACTAAAATTTGTGTAGCGAATAACTGCTAACAGACATAGCTTTGTCTTGCTTTTCCTGGCTGCATGAAAACTGAAAAGAACTGAAGGCATTACCGATGTTTGTATAATTTATTGTTGTAAAGCTTGGAAAATATAGTCTTGCGAAGTTTGCAAATTTTGTACATGTTTGTATTATTACGTGCGGACATTGTTACCATTTTTGGCTCAAAAATGCAGGTGACAATTTCCGCACGTAATACAAAGATATATAAAATATGCAAACTTCGCAAGGCTATATTTTCCGTATTTTACAACATTTCGTAACCAAATTTTGCAATTTTACTAACTTTAATAAGTTCTTTACAGGAGTTTACTTTTTTTGCCTATAGATAAAAAATTAGTCTGACATGCAAGTTGTCTATCCCCTTCGCCGAAACACAGAGTTGATTTCTTTAAACAGACTGATGTAGTTTACAAGATACAGTGCGGAGATTGTAACTGGTCATACATATGGGAGAAACGGGGAGGGCATTCGAAACAAAAAAGAAAGAACACGTGAGAAATGTAAAAACTTAAAACATAGCATCACATTCATGGAGAAACAGACATAAAACTGATTTTAAAGAATAGGAAATTATTGACTATATATGAAAAAAAGAAACGCTGCCTTCGCTAATTAGTTTACTTTTATTTCAATATTCGTAATTAAGATTCCTAATGTATGATGTAACACAACCTAAGTTAGTATATAAGCTCGCTATTTTCATTAGTCATCTACCTGAAAAAGACCACAGTCTAGTGGCCGAAAACTCGTCAAAAAAATTATTTTTGCATGCATGGTCAGAGAACGAGTCCTTTTATTAATGTATATACGTATAGTTTATAAACCGTATACCCTTTGCTGAACACAAGCATTTGTTGCATATTTTAAATCTCGTCTATTACTGCAGAAATTTATAATAATCCTTACATTCCTATCCGGTATTTGTAACTCTCATTAAAAAACTCATTAATAAGTCATGAGAAAACACAAAAGAAATCATGGGCGTGAAGGAGTCTGTATATGTGATACAGATTCATGTTGATTTACATAAACTTTAACTTTGATTTTCTCGGCTTAGACAACTTTATTTTTAAAATTATTTCGCCAATGAACTCATAAGATGAGTAGTTTTTTAACGGCCATTTATAACATTCGCGTCCGTGTTGTATCGGATATACGAACTCTCGCCTTCGACTCGAGTTTGTATATCCGATACAACACGGACGCTCATGTTGTAAATAGTACTTATGATTCTTAAAGAAAAAGAAATCATGACAGAAAAATATCTTGGATATATCAGATATCAGTCCATTTTTTCACAAAATATCATTCATATGTCTTTACGATTATTGAAGAATATACGAACGTTTTTTGCAGTATTTGCCTCCGCGTTAACGTTGTATAAAATATCCAGCTTTCTGCTCGGCTTTGTTGAATTTATACAATACGACCGCTCATATTCTTTTTTGATCTTGGACAACAATTTATTAGAAATTTTAACCAATTTGTCTTGACAAGGGTATATTAATCATGTTTCGCTCGCTACTCTGGTTTAAATAACTGAATGATTACAATTAAAGCCCAGTCGAATTGTAATCAAGACCCAACGTTTCAACACTCCAATCTAGTGTCTTGTAATTTTAGATCACACTAGACTGGAGTGTCGAAACGTTGGGTCTTGATTACAATTCGACTGGGCTTTGTAATCATTTATTTAAACCAGAGTAGCGAGCGAAACATGATTGATATACCTGGTTGCAGTGAACGAACAACCTTTAAAGTGTTTTTCTAAACAACGTTTTATTCATGTATGATTATCATAACGGGAATCTTCCTGCTACATTTAAAAACATATTCAAACAGGTCACATCAGTACATAATTATAATACCAGATTGGCTTCTAGAAATACATATTATATTGACAACATAAGAACTAACTATGGCAAATTCAGTCTTCGATTTCAGGGTAGTAAAGCATGGAATTATATTGATGATAAATATAAAACTCTTAGCAAATCATCTTTTAAAAATAAAATTGCGGAAAATATGATTTTCATTTACTAGCGCTGCCACAAGTATTCATGAATATATACTTTTATAATTATACAAAATAAAAAACTCATTATTTCATTTATTTTATAAAAGGTCACTAGACTGGTTTAGTCTTCACTATTTCTGGTGACCTGTGCCATAATGTTTATATATTTTAAAAAAATCATGTAATGTTATTTTACTTGGTGGTGCGAAATAAATTTGTTTGTTTGTTTGTTTGTTTGTTTGTTTGTTTGTTTGTTTGTTTGTTTGTTTGTTTGTTTGTTTGTTTGTTTGTTTGTTTGTTTGTTTGTTTGTTTGTTTGTTTGTTTGTTTGCTTGTTTGTTTGTTTGTATATTACCTAGATCAACGCTATTTTGTGTAGATTACTGTGTAAAAGAATATCTGGAACGTGTGATTTAGCGATAGCCTGTAATGTCTGTGACACAAACCAGTTTAACGAGCGATTGGATCGAAATTAAGAGATTCAGTGAAATAAAAGGTATTGTATTAACTTGAAACATTCATGGTGATGGCTCCTTCTAGTTTTCTAACATTTTGAATATTTTAAGTAACCTAGCTTCCTTCTCAACCAAATTTATATTGAATACACTTAAGACAGGGCAATATGATTATTTCCAGGAAAGTTCAGAAGTCTAGTACTGTCGATATATATCAATACATTGGAACGATGATAGTGTTCCTATGGCAACCATAATGTTTTTGTCTTTTGCACTTTTATTGTCTAATTTCACAATCAAACGCAACATCTTTCTTCCTACGGTCAATTTTTCTAAAAATTGTTTTGAAGATATATGGTTGATAGAGGAATAACATACTAAAATTTTAAGGGAAGTTTATAAGGCAAAGGCCGGTGGTACGAAGGTCGGATAGTGCTATCCACCGAATAGTGATTTTTCAACCTTTATAAAATGCTTGAAAAACTGTGAAACTAAACAGGTGGGAAAATTGTCGTCGCTGACCAAATTTATCGCGGACGCTTTCTTTTTGCCAATCAAAAATTGTGAAAACAACAAAAACACAGATTTCGCTACCCTGTTTCTCGTACTGCAACAGAGGAAAAGTAAAAGAAAGCTAGCAGACGTAAACTTTAATAAACGTTAATCAAGACCACAATTACTTGTCGCAATCGGGAAATTAGCAGTCAAGAAAACATGGCCGAAAATGACGTTTCTTGCAAAATGTGTGTTTTTGATGGCAAATAACCTGGAGCAGGAACTTAATATTGATGGAATATTACTTGAAATTTGCAGTGCGTGCGTTTGTTGTCCAGGACAAAGTATAAATATTTGGTTTTTGAGTGATACTGTGCGCCAACGATCATGGTCAAATTTCAGTATGCGAGGTATTTTGCTAAAATTGCTTGTTTTCACCTTAATTTTCTCATATATACAGGTTGTGCCAATGAAATGTGATTAGGTCAGAACATGTGTTTTCTTTCTAGTTTTTGCTAATATAATAGAATGCAAACTCGCCTAAAAAATGAAGAAAGTACTGAATTTTGGCAAATTTCATGTACAAGAGTGTGATTTGTACGAAAAAAGCGACTCAGAAAATGAGCATCAAATAAAATCTCACCATGTATTTTGCTATAATAGTTTTAAAATATTATTTTTAGGTTTTCAAAGTATTTAAAAAAGATAAAAAAAAAAAGCAATCAGATTTTTCTATGACCCTCATTCCGAAGCGCAAACTTTGTATTGTTTCTAAACACAATTTTCGCTCGTTCAAAATTCTATAAACACAAATTTTGTCATGTTACAGTGAATCCAATTTTTGTGGTGATTTGTGGGCCTAAACAGCCACTGCAAAATTGTCTTTCGAAGGCTTCGTTCATGTTGTTTATGTTTTTTAAATCAACCAAGTGGAAGCACGCATATCTTCTTCTCCAGCTAAAACCCGAGCAGTTTTCGCTCATGCTCAGTCAAATTTCCCATCTGTTGTGAAACTACGGATATAGATAACACAAGAAGTATAAAAAACATTTAAGGTGGCTCCATACACTTTTCGTCATTGGGGGACTGGTATCTAATCTTGAGTTTTCGCGCGAAAATGTTAAAAATATATGCAAAAATTTAAAATCTAAACCTAAAGTCCGAACCACAAGTCATTATTTTGATGTTTAACTTGTCAACAACAACATGAATACACAGAAGTTACGACTGAAAACGAATATAAAACTATGTAGAAAAGCCATAAAGTTCATACATGTCACACATATCTTATACCAAACGACCGACAATCACCTGTTTTCTTGGCGTTATCCCGAGTTAGCATGCAAAACTAAATATATTTGCATTTCTAAGCAAGAAAACACAATATATATTTGATATTTCGACGAGACTGGACTAAAAACTTTTTTGTGCATGTTTTTCTGGAGATGCGCCTGCGAAAACATGTACGCGCATGTCAATTCATTCACCTTGCAGAGTGTGAAAAACTTTGGCCGTGCGGAATAACACCGTGATTATTTCCAAAACGAGTTCGGTAAGGTACCCTGAAAATTTGTACATGAGTAGATACATACTTCAAGATTTCATCATGGAAAAATAAAAAAAAATTGTCGACAGAAACTGTCAAAAAAGTCGAAATTTAATTCTAAAGAATTGAGTCGACAGATTTTTTTAAACTTCCCATAAATGCTTCTCGACACTAACGTAACTGATTTATTACAAAAATTAGGGTCACCGAACTCATTTTTGAAAAAAACTCGAAAAACTGCGATATTTTCGGCTATTTAGTGTTACAATTATTCGTTATAGTTGTCATGGAAACGCGACTTTTATCAGAATTCTTCTTGTTTGCGACACATCTTACTATGTGTTACAATTATAAGTAAAACCTAACCCTGTAAAAGCGTTTAAACAGAAAATATTCAACTTTTGCTCTTTTGGCTAAAAAGTGTATTGAACCACCTTAACTTATAAATACTAAACTTTAATACGAGTTATACCAATCAACGGCTGATTTAAGAAAGCTTGAAAAAATCACTATCCGGTGGATAGCGCTATCCGTCCTTCGTACAACCGGCCCCAGGTTTCAAGATATTCATGAATAACGACGACAGAAACTGTGTTTTCTAGAGTTTCTTAAAATTTTGATATGTTTTACTGATCAACATGTTTGGCAAATACCCAAAGTTTAAAAACATTTCACCAAAGGAAACGCGAGAAATATAGCGGGAAATATAATCCAGTTAAGGAGCTGATGGCGTGA